ACCTCCATCTCCTACCGACCAACCTCATCCCGCCCCCTTGACCTGTCTGTCCTCCCTGGACTGACCTATCCCCTTCCTAACTCCCTACCTACACTCACCTTTCCTGGCCCCATCCCCGCCTCTTCGACCAGTTTGTTTCCTCTCCTCTATCCGCCTCCCACTCTCTCCCTATTTATTTCAAAACCCCCTCCCCCTCCCCCTTTTCTGATGAAGGGTCTAGGCCCGAAACGTCAGCCTCTCTGCTCCTATGATGCTGCTTGGCCTGCTGTGTTCATCCAGCCCTGCACCTTGTTGTCTCTGCTCTTCTCTCTCTTCGGGCTCTATCTTATCGTTTACTCCTTACCTCCCCTAACCCACCCTACCCTATCTTCTGCAATATAAACTGACACTTTCCCAGCTATAACCAGTTCTAAGGAAGGGTCACCGGACCTGAAACGCTAACTCGGATTTCCCTTCACAGATACTGCCAGAGCTGCTGAGATTTTCCAGCGACTTTTGTTTTTGTTTCTGATTTACAGCGATCTGCGGTTCTTTTACCTTCTTGTTATCACTCTAGAATTCGCTGAGCATTGTTATGCTCCCACAGTGTTACAAATTTGGCGTTGTGCTAATAATCAGTACTGGCTGCTCTCTGGCACTGAGCTGCACCGTGTTTCCCCCGTCTCCAACACTCAATGTTCTCCTTGTTGTGGGCCAGCTGCACCAATGACCTCTGACCCCCCCGCCTGTGCGGCACGTGGATCCTCCCGCTTCCACTTCCGGCGGGGGCTGCAGTCCACGCATGCGTGGTGGTGGGCGAAGTTCGCTGTTGTTCCGGTGGCTGCAGGTGAGAGCTGGCGGAGAGGGTCTACCCTGTCCGGGGGAAAGGTAGGCCAAGGCCGAGGGAGTCCGGGCCATAGCAGCTCCTGCTGAAAGAAGGGAGGTTTAGCTCGGGGTGGATCCGAGGAAAGTGTTTTGTTTCTGTTTGGTTTGTTTAAAAAAAAAACAACATGCTGGGAATACCTAGCCGGTGTGGTAACATTTGTGGGGAGGGAAATAATGTCTCGGGCATCTTTCTTCAGCAAGTTTTGTTGTTGTGGCATTTCTTCAGGTTGAACCTTCTGGGGGCTGTCGGTTCTCCTGCAGAGGGATCAGTTTTATAAGTCCAACAAGTGGCACACCCTCTCCAGCTCTCAGAATGTGAGCTGGGTTGGAATTTCCAGCGGGACATAAAGGCTTCAAGCTCAAATGTTCGGTCACTGGCCTCAAAGATGCAGGATAACCCCTATAATCTTTGCTACTACGTAATTAGAAGCAGACACACAACTAAAATCAGAATACTGTGGTTGCTGGAAATCTGAAATAAAATTTAAAAAGGCTGGAGAAACTCAGCAGGTCCAACCTCATCTGTGCGACTGAAACTGAGTTAACATTTCGAGTCTGATTTATGACTTCTTTGGAACTCTTCATTAGAGCTAAGCTTTTTAAGAGTGAAAACAAGAAGCATGTTTTACAAGCAGAGGATACTGGAAATTTGAAGTGCTCCCCAAGAGGTTGGATGCTTGAGTTGACAATTTCCAGAGAGTACATAGAATTGACATTGAGAATTGTACTTTTTTTTTGTAAGCCAGGAGCATTGAGACTTATGGAGTGAAGGCAGAAAGATGAAATTGAAGTACAGTTCAGCTATGACTGTATTGCAAAATGAAATGTTTGAGGGGATGAGTAGTTGATTGAAGTTGGTATTGTCTGATATCAATTCAAAGCAAATACATTCAAAGATAATTGTATTCAGATTCAGTGCTTATATCATGATGCAAAGTTGTGCTGTCATATTACAGTGCAATATTTGAAAAGTTAGAAGCAGTCTAACTTATTATTTAGCAGCAACCTGAACTGCTTTAGAAGTGTAAACAGATAATACATCAATTTGAAAAACTTAGGTTGGTCGGTAGGAGATGGAGGTGCGGCTTGAGGTGGGAGGAGGGGATAGGTGGGAGGAAGAACAGGTTAGGGAGGCAGGGACGAGCTGGACTGGTTTTGGGATGCGGTAGGGGGAGGGGAGATTTTGAAACTTGTGAAATCCACATTGATACCATTGGGCTGCAGGGTTCCCAAGCGGAATATGAGTTGCTGTTCCTGCAACCTTCGGGTGGCATCGTTGTGGCACTGCAGGAGGCCCAGGATGGACATGTCGTCTGAGGAATGGGAGGGGGAGTTGAAATGGTTCGCGACTGGGAGGTGCAGTTGTTTATTGCGAACCGAGCGTAGGTGTTCTGCAAAGCGGTCCCAAGGACATCTCAGTTGTCCTCGTTTTTCAAGGACATCTCAGTTGTCCTCGTTTTTCAAGGACCGTAACTTCCCCCCCTCAGTAGTCGAGAACACCCTCAACCGTGTCTCCCACATCTCCCGCAACTCATCCCTCACACCCCGTCCATGCAATAAGAACCAAAAAAGAATCCCCCTCGTCCTCATGTACCACCCCACCAACCTCCGGATCCAACGCATCATCCTCCAACACTTCCGCCATCTGCAATCCGACCCCACCACCAAAGACATCTTTC